ATAGACTGTGTGCAGATTGGATCATGTTATACTAGATACACAATTCATGACTAAATATTGAAATTCAGAGAATATAATAGAATTTACTCAGTGCGATTACAAGCAGTTTACACAGTGAGTCCAGAGTAGAAATCAATAATAGGAGAAAAAAGTCACAATTAATAGTTAGTAGACCAAGTGTTTTTCAGTCCACACTCATCGGTCGATCACATTTACTTTCACTGACCATACATCAATTAAATATTAGCATAAAAGTTACATAATAAAAAGACAAACAGACGTCAACATATCGCCTGACACAAATGTGCATTAGCCAAAGTTGCCGTACCTGATTCTCACAACGAGATGTAAATAACAAAAGAGGTCGAAATAATTGTAGTAGCAACAATAAAATGTAAGACTAAATCTTAGGAATATAGTTCGCAAAAAAACAGGGTGGAAAGAGATTCATGAAGGGATACGGAAATTCACGTTACATAACTCAGTCTTCAACAGCTCAGTTGGAAATGTGATCACTTCTACTAGATTTGCGGATAAGGAAGTCCCAACATCAATGTAAGTGGTAGTTCATTGATTAAGGCGTTCAAATTTCAGCTACTAGGTCGTAGTGTCGAATCTTGTTGCACTTGGAACTGAGCTATCGGGTAGTACAGTACTTCTTACTCTTAGGGTATCACTTGAATCTGTACCTGGTAAATAAGTTGATACTGTAGGAACAGTTATTGTATACAGATGCGATTTATATCACTTCATTTTTAATATTCTTCTTATAGATTCGTTCATATCGTGATGCTCATGTGAATTGTTCGCGCGATCATGAATTATTACGTTTGATTAAGTATTTAGAATTAATTGCTTTAAATGAACAAGATTTCACTCAATTAAATCATAATCATTGGGATCGTTATGTACATAAACATCGAAAACAATGGGAAGCATTAAAAATTAAACGAAAAAAACAATCGAAACTTTGTCAAGACAATGAAACAAGAGGTAATCAACCATTTGTTGTACAGTCATCTACTTCATCCTCATCTCAATCGTCCATTTATTCATCTACAATTAATAGTAATAACGTTGTTTCTGTTCCAGTCATTTCTTCGTCATGTACAGTACATGAACCAATGGAAGTTTCATCAAGTTCTTTTTCTTCTAGTCCTAACAATACTGCTACTAATACCACTACTACTAGTTCATTTACTAGTGGTCAAAAACGTGTACATGACAAAAATCCTGATGATAACGATGATGATAACAATCACTGTGTTGATACAAATCAAACATATAATATGATTAAAGATAATCTAAATAAAGGAGATGAGGATTAATAATTCTTAAAGAGAATACTAATATATTATGAACAGAAAATTCAGTCTGTTTATTCTTATATTCTCTATAATGTAGGGTAACTTTTCCCATATTATGGTGATGATGATCACATATTTTCAGTTACCTGCTTAATTCAAATAAACAAAACGAAGAGAACATATAAATTTGGATTTTTTCCCGTTAACTGTAATTATCACTTACGCATGTATCATACATCTATATTTATTAGTTAATCTTATGGGATGTTTAATTGTTCATTCTTGGTTTGGGTAAACTAGGCCTACATATAACCCCGCCCGGAGCCCCCCTGGGGCTACTGCCAGTTTCAAGCCCGGACAAAGGAGAATGGTTGAGCATGGGGTTAACGACGCTATCCCATAGAAAACTAACTCGCTAAAGAAGTGCTAACCAGAAAAAATAATTCAAACCACTTAAATTCTGTCCTGGGAGTTAGAAGATCTTCATTTAGAAGTGCTATGATGCCTTATAGTGAAAGCCGGGTTCCTTCGGAAGTCACGAGTTCTGACAACCAGAGCAATCATTAATTCAGGCACATAGAATACTCTTACGATGTGGGGGACCGGGAGAGTCTTCCAAATTGCTGCTGCAGGTCTACATATCTTTTCACACTTTACTTTTGGGTCACTGGTTGGTTTAAAATAAGAATTTTAAGCAAAAAACGGGAAGCTTTTAGTAGACAAATGATCTCTTTGCTGTGTTATTTTTGTTAGATAATTAGTGTATGTATTATAATGAAAGGAACTTTATGCAAGAATTGTATTGATTATTGTAGTGAACAAGAACACGGGTGGGGACAATCGATTGTATTTAGCACAAAGATTACAGACCTTCTCAATAAAATGTGAATACCATAAAGTCAATCGTCAATTTGCAAAATATCATTCCATCATATCAAACTGTACTGTTCCCGTTGCAAACAATAATCCATTGTCTCCCATTCCATTGTACATGCGTTTTCTTACAATTCCGTTGTGCTCTTGCTCTTCCTTTCTTGATCTTCGCCATCTGCTGCCGGACCTTACGTTTATTTAACGCACGTTATATACTACTTATATGAATATAAGTAGCTCACACCACATATGAGATATACGACCAAACACTTGACTTGATTGTGGTCAAACGATGGTAATTGCTCCATAATTCTGAGTTATTGATACAAAACTCCGTAGTTCAACGAAAGACTTTCAAAAGACCATAACTAGTCATCAAAGTATGAGCCATTTTATACAATAAAGTATTACGACACCAAATATTTTATATGAAATAAGGTTAGTGAGATTTATTTGACTCTTAAGTGATTATAGGACTGTCAGATTTTGTAGATCATTCACCAACTTATGAAATTAAGACACGACAGGTTTACTTGTCACCTACTACATCACTGTGATGATGCGTTCAACTAAGAGATGGCACACATCTGTTAACTTATTATGAGCACATTCGATGATATATGTCAGTTGTGACCCTCTTAGCTTAATTGTAATGTTTTGCAATGTGACAGAGAGGATCAGTTCCCACAAGATACTAGATATTAATAGACGTTTTCTCCTACTATATTCAGTATGCTGTAGTTTTGGGATAACAGCAGTTAACGGTCGGTTACCGGCAGGAACTTATTTACCATTAAAAGCTCAACATTTTGTGATTCTGACCGATGAAATAAGATTTTCCCTACTTCACATGCTGATTGATGGAGTATGCGAACATGGATATACCACATTCCTTTTCTCATATATCATCTTAAGGTCAAGTAGTAAACGAGAAACTGTAAGTGATACACTATTGGAAGTTGGTGAAGTACTTTGCCAAGATCCCTGCCTACACATTCTTGTTTGGCTCATCAGGACAATCGTATACATGTGGTGTATCCAACTCATGAAGTATGTAGCACCAATGGGAAGTGGAATACCTGTTAGCATAGGATTGAAATGAAGAGAATAGGAAGGGAAACAGAGAGAAGTTGTAATAACAGTGAAATTGGAAGAGTTATGAAACATGTAAAGGACAAATGAAGAAAGATGTGCAAGTAATGTATGGTCTTCATATTTTATGAATGCACTCTAATTTTGCATTGAATAATAAATTGGTTTTCCCCAGCTCGTCAGTATAAGTGGTAGTTCAGTGATTAAGGCGTTCAACTACTAGGTCGTAATGCCGGGTCTTGCTGCACTTACTTAGAATTGGTGTTACTATATCGCTTGGATAGTTTGTTCTATTTTTGACTATTTTCTTACTGTGACTTTAAGTTGGTCAAAAATCTAAATCGAAGCATTCTATTTTTACTAAATAATGATGGTTGTTTGAATTCTCAGACTAGGTCTCGATGCTCCTGAGACATAATGTGCCTCTGAAAGATGAAGGATAATCGTATTTATTGCCTGCTGTTGTTATAGGAATTTTACTCTGTTATATATCGAACACTTTATATTGATTACTCAAAATCAAGTTTATGTGCAAAAATGACAAATCAGTTGGTGAGATTATGAGTCTCCATCTATTGAGTTTGGGCATATGTTAGGTAACCCCAACCACTGCCAGTCTTGACGTGTTTGGTTTCTTTTCCTTTCATCATGGGCATCAATGTAACTTCGACTCATTTTCTATTCATTTTGCTGTGATAAATTGACTAGTTCACATTTATGTCTATCAGAATGATAATCGACGCTTAATTTATTTAATATCTTTAGTAGTTGAATTCATGAGTCGATTAACACTAGATCACCATGGAAAACGTGGAAGCACTAGACGGTCGTTTCATCCTAGTATGGAACTCACTACTGACCGATTTTATGAGGTATTTCCTGGAGTTCTAGTGAGAAGCTGTGGCCAGTAGAGTCCAACCGTATAATTTGTAGAGGCAGTTACTCATTGTAGACAATCGTGGATGGCCGCGCAATTTCGTGGATTGATTAAAGTTAGACATTAACACCGTTGGGCTTCAGGCTCAGTGGTCTAGAGGATAGTTCTGAGGTCCTGTGTTCGAACCCCGTATGTGGTGCTTTTTATTTATTTAAACATTGATACAAGGAGGCACAGAACTAGTATGCACCACACTTTGCCACTCGATTTGCGTGATGTCTGGGATACTTCACGGGTGCCCAAACCGAAGCAGGTGGTTTCCATAGAGGGTTACACCCGGAGCCTTTGACCCAAGGGTCTGATCCACAAGGCAGTGGAGCAACATTAAGAGATGCGGTTCTATGGTAGACGATGACCAACAATATGTTCATATGCCATTATTCCCTTAGGATCCTGAAGCTAATGTTTACCATTGGTTTTGAATCATGGTTTTCCAACTCCGTTCTGTGGATCTTCCATATCCACCAGCCCGGTTAAAGCGTCAAACATTCACATTTACTTCTCTCAATTTCGTGAATAACACCCTCACCACGAGAAGGCAGTGAGTGGAACTTCTCTGACAGTAGTTGTATGCACGTGGCATCATGCGGGATCGTGGATACACACGACTGAAGAGTCCTATACTTTAACGAAACGTCAGCTCATTACTTCCAAGTTCTTAATGATGATTTAACTTTGATCGACTCATACATCCAACGATTAGAAACCTACTACAAACTCCACACTGCCCTACCCCCGTATTTAATAATTGTATGTAATTCTGTTTATTATTTCTTTAAAAAAAGGGAATTTTATTTTGCATAAGCAATTGCATTAAATAAATTTTGTAATATATAATCTAAAATGAATTCATTTTGATTGTTATGTAATATGATAGATTTGAAAAATACTTGGATACTTAATTGTTTTAACCAATTTTTATTAAAATGATTTAATTTCTCATAGAATTGATTCATTAAATCATAACGTAAATGAGTAGAGAAGATTGTGGTTGATTGATTGATTGTAGGTTGAATATGACCTAGACAATAAAGGAATGTATTCGTTATTAGAATTTGAAGAATGTAACATTAAAAAAACAACTGCAAAACAGCATTTATTCTTTCATCTCGAATGTCTGGCGCTTTTTATTCGGGTCGGTGGACATAGAGGGACCACTTAGGAGAGTTGGAAAACGATTATTCGAAATCAGTGGTGTACATGGGTTCCAGTATCTTGAAGGAACAAATGGAGTATGAACCAATCGTTGATTACCGACATACATGGGATTGCATCTCCTGATGTTGCTCTACTGTCTTGTGGATCAAATCTTTAGGTCGAAGGCTTCGTGTGTGGCTCCATAAGAGAACCAACTGCTTCGGTTTGGCCATCCAGTCAGTATCACAGCCCTCTCACAAATCGAATGATTTATGTGGCGGATATCTATTTGGTGCCTCCTTGTACCAATGTTTATGTGTTTAAATGAATAAATAATAAATCATTTTCTATATTTGGTCGTAAATCGTGTATTCGGTATAATATGATTCAGTCTTTGTATAGCTTATCGATTGAGTATCTAATCTAATGATTCTATACTCTCGATTACCGGTTGTAATATTACATGTCAGTAGTATAACGTAGCAAATGAGAAGTATTTACATTCGACCGCTTTATCGCAATAGTTGTTAAGTTTGCTTACGTTCTCTGTCATTACTCTCTACACACCAACTCCTTTTGTTTATTGATTTATACTACTTATTATTATTTAGTAAATATTTGTATTTTCAGCAATTTCTAAACATATGTTATAGCTCAAGTTTATCGTGTGATATTCTAAATGTATTTATTTTAACACATAGATATTGGTACAAGGAGGCACCAAATACATGTGCGCCGGACAGATCTCATTTGATATGTGTGAGGGCTGTGATACTGCCCGGGTGCTCAAACCGAACCAGGTGGTTTTCATAGAGGGTTACACCCGGAGCTTTTGACCCAAAGGTCTGATCCACAAGGCAGTGGAGCAACATTAGGAGATGCAGTTCTATGGTAGCCGATGACCAACAATATGTTCGTATGCCACTTTTCCCTCAGGATTCTGGAGTTAATGTTTACCATTGGTTTTGAATCATGGTTTTCTAACTCCCTTCTGTGGATCTTCCATATCCACCAGCCCGGTTAAAGCGTCAAGCATTCGCATTTACTTCTCTCACTTTCGTGAATAACACCCTAGCCACGAGAAGACAGTGAGTAGGGATTCCCTGGCAGAGGCTATATACGCGTTGCCATGTGAGAGCGTTTGGAGAGGGAGAGCGGACTCTCCCACTCTCGGCCGTACCAGGGCATTTGGGTGCTATATTCTAAAATATTTACATATACTTATAACATTAATTATATTTATCATTATAATTACTGTCTCTCGATCTCTGTCGTAGCTATTCTCAGTTTATCGATATCGAGGCAATATGCACATGTGCCATTAAGTGACTGATCAATTTCACTCCTAAACATCCATGGGAAGATTCAAGTAAACAATACCAAATGAATTTAAAATACATCCCATTTACACAAGCGAGTGCCTATCAGGACTCAGTAAGTAAGTGGATAACGCTATGGCGCTTGAAGCGAATAGTGTTCCGGACTGGACATCAATTCAGATTCAGGTACATCCAGCTGACGAGCGTTAAATTAGATAAAACGCGCTTCAAACTGGATTCCATTGCGAGTCATCATTCATCTTTGTTTATAATGCTTGTGAATTTAGGCAATATCGAAGAAATCATTAAGGGATCCACATATGCTTATAAGAGACTGATCAATTTCAGTCTTAAACATTAGTTGCAAGATCTTGGTTGCGTTTTTTGCATTTTGACAAACTGATATCAAGATTAGACACAGCTATCAGCTGTCGTTTACACTATCGTACATCATAATTATTTCTTATGTTATTATCACAGGAAGCTCCTTTTTTCTTTCAAACCTACAGACACGCTATATGCCACAGATCCTCCACAAGTTAAGGTTTATAACTAATTCATGTATATAACTCAATAAAGAACCATTTTTCCAACAAATTGCTGTTTCGTGATCTTCGATTTCGCGTGTATCTCAATTGTTTTATTGGACACTTTGATAGATTCAACAATAGTAGTGGACGGAGTTTGCAGGGTTTATGGAAATGACCTTTGATTCCAAATTTATGATAGTTCCCTTTGTATTCTGTAATAATTTGTTGATTGATGAATAATCTATAAAGTTTCACATCAATTTTGATTTATAAGCTCGATTCATTTTAAGAGAAGTATTATGTTAATTAATCAATTATTATAGTAACTGGTTACCTGTTTACAGTTTATACTAGTTTATTGGATCTGTTAACAAACTTGATCATATTTAGATAAATTTTGAAAATTTCTTTTTTCACAGGTTGAAATCATGAGTCAATTGAAGCTAGACCACCATGGAAAACCTGAAAGCACTGGACGGCCGTTTCGTCCCAGTATGAAACTCCTCAGCAGTGCGCATCCACGATCCATCACCCCACGAGATTCGAACTCAGAACCTATCAGTCTCGCGCCAAGCGCTTAATCAACTAGACCACTGAGGGGGGTGCGGGATCGTGGATGCGCACTGCTGATGAGCCACACACTGGGACGAAACGGCCGTCCAGTGCTTTCAGGTTTATCATGGTGATCTAGCTTCAATTGACTCATAAATTCAACTATTAAATTACTCTAATATCTACAAAACCCCCTTTCTGGGGATAAGACTTTACTCACCTAAATTATTTTCGGTGAATATTTTAAACTTTACACATTCACTTTCTTCTTTATTTAAATTAAAGTCAATTAAATATTGAATCAATGAAATACCCACGTTCAATGAATCATGAATATTGAGCATATTACTCAGAATAGGATTTATGAATACATCGTTACATTCACTCAAATGATTTGGCTTCGAATTTCCATTATGACTAGGACATTCAAGTGTATGTTTATCATCAAAGTTATGGTTGATATATTCCATTACATGAATATAGAATAAGAATATCCAATTCGTATTACTTAAGTCAATCTAGAATGAAGAAACAACATAATGAATTAGTGAATTGTTTTTTGACTACTTATAAGTAGGTTAAATGAGTAAGTAAAAGAAAGAGGCAGTGTCATGAATTTAAAAAATTAGGATTTAAGTCTGAAATTATTTTGCGACGATCTAACGGTATATGACCACTTCATACTTTTCACTTTCATCTCAAGTTGCCTATAAACATTTTTAATTTCAGAATTATTAGGTTTTCTTTACCGGTAACAACAATGCCGTAGCTTGTGTAGGTTTTATCATGATGTCATGGAAGTACAATCATGAAATGGTAGCTCAAATATGCTTGGAATCTCTAAAGACCATATGAATATCTTGAGAAGAAGGATTTCGAACTTCTTCGTGTCAAATCTAAGCTTAATATTCTCTAAGGGAAAATATATTTGTAACATGTCAGCGATTGAATTTCAAGTAAATCCAACGTTTCGCTCGACAATCTGGTCCAAACTAAGATTTTACAAATATATTTCTCCTCCTTGATGTCTTACATTAACACGGCACCTAATTACTATGAAACTATTAATGTCCTCTATTTGATCTATTCTCGACGTTAAGTGCAAGTCCTGATATCTCATCATTTTGGTATAAATTTATCAGTTCATCTAGTCCTATGGAGTTAGGTATATTGGTCATTCGAAATACGTTTAATCCAAGAGATTTCTAAAGCATTAATCTAAGCGGTTGAAGAAGCAACACAAATGAGCACAGTCAAAATATGCACCAACAATCTAACACAGAAATTTCATATCTAGAGACCAATTGGTTACATAAATACTTCACAGCTTAAATCTAATAGCTAATTTTTCGATAGTGCTTATTTATTATCCTATGTAATCAATGATATCTACATTCTTACACAGCTGAACTATACCTTTCTAAAGTTCTTATTGTAAATACATCTTAGTAAAAGTATCAAATGAATACAAATCTTGAGATGGTGGGGAAGACTTGTAGCTCAGGTGGATGATTTCGATGGAGTTTTGTTCTCCGACCTCGATGGTTTGGTCACTGAGGTTTCATCGTCCATCTGAACGACATCATCAGCACAAACTTCAGATAGAAGTGAAGTGTTTGAATTTCTTCACATATGGTTCACAACTTATCCTGTAGACCTCGATTTCCATCGGTTCTTGTTGACGTTAAACCTATCATTGTTTACTTATTTGTTTTGGTTGTATCTCCTATTCGTTTGATTTTTGTTCCTATGTTTGTACATAATTATACACCATTCAAAGATATAACCAAAAACAAAGAAGTAAACAGTGACAGGTTTAACTTCAACAAAAACCAATCAACACTGAGATGTACAAGACAAGCTGTAAATCATATGTGGAGAAATTTGAACACTTCACTTCTACCTGAAGTTTGTGCTGATGATGATGTCATTCAAAAGAATAATGAAAGCTTCACGACCCAACCATTCAACTCAGAGAACAAAACTCTATCAGAATACACATCTTATCCATGATAAAATCTACCTTCCAAGTGAACTAATTCAATAGTTCATTCCATCTAGTTCTGTCAATACTCATTCATTTAAGCTTACCTTATTTCTATTATCTTCTATATTGATATTATCAATTAGGTAATGATTCAATATCCATTTAATCATATTCATCATAATCTGTATACCAATTTCTGTTTTATTCCATTCATTTAATTTTATAAAATCTATCCAATTCATTTGAGTAGTATGTTTCATTGTTTTATTCTCTAAATATAAATTTGTATTTAAATCTAAATGATTATTGTTTTGATTAACAGACACTAGGGGATTGTTTACTTTCGATAAAAGAGCTGTGTAGAAAGAGAAAACAAAAAGAGAAAGAGAGATGATCAACTACTAATTGTAAATGTAATTGTATTTCTACACTTTCATTATTATTATTATTGTAACTGGAGAATTATGATTAACTGTTTTTCGATAATCGTATGGATCATGAAGACGTCAACATCTGAAGAGAAGCACAGGACACAGTGAACAGATAGGATGCAGATGGATGATCTAGACTTCGCAGATGATCTGGTTCTTCTATTGCACACACAACAAAAAATGCATGAGAAGACGATCAGTGTAGCAGCAGTCTCAGTAGCAGTAGGTCTCAATATACACAAAGGGAAAAGCAAGATTCTCCCATACAACACAGCATGCACCAATTCAATCACAATTGACGGAGAAGATTTGGAAGATTTAAAACCTTTACATATTTGGGCAGCACCATTGATGAACATGGTGGATCTGATGCAGATGTGAAGGCGCGGATCGGCAAAGCAAGAGTGGCATACTAACAACTGAAGAACATCTAGAACTCAATGCAACTCTCAACCAACACAAAGGTCGGGATTTTCAATACAAATGTCAAAACAGTTCTACTGTATGGGGCAGAAACCTGGAGAACTACTACAACCATCATCCAGAAAATACAGGTGTTTATTAACAGTTGTCTACGCAAAATACTTCAGATCCATTGGCCGGACACTATTAGCAACAACGTAGTGTGAGAGAGAACAAACCAGATCCCAGTGGAGGAAGAAATCAGGAAGAAGCGCTGGAAGTGGATAGGACACACATTGAGGAAAGCATCCAACTGCGTCACAAGACAAGCCCTCACATGGAGTCCTCAAGGCCAAAGGAGAAGAGGAAGACCAAAGAACACATTACGCCGGAAAATGGAAATAGACATGAGAAGAATGAACAAGAATTGCATGAAACTAGATAATAGGCCTAGGACAGAGTGGGTTGGAGAATGTTGGTCGGCAGCCAATGCTCCATTGGGATTAGCAGGCGTAAGTAAGTCCTTTGATAATATGAGGTAATTAATGCAATAATATCTTTATTTTTACACTAATTAGTCTCTGAGTGAATGACCATTGTCATGGTTGTTTAGTTCTTTTAACATTGATTGGTATTTATCTATCAGATTGTAATGTGACTTCTAGTCTAATTGACTCAACACTCCATGCATTGTTTTAATGTTTTGTGATTGAACGTGAAGCATAGAAAACCACAGACCAAGCTTTTCTATTAGTTGAGTGATCTAGGTTCGAATCCCTCGAAGAGAGTCAGTTGCCTCAAGATTACAGATCTGATTGTTGACGAATGTTAATTGTCATGAATACTGGATCCAAGATTTTTCTTAGACTGCGTACAATCACGAATTATATCCTGTGGTGGTTAACAATGAAATCCAGTACTTATATTCGTGTAATTTAAAATTTTAACAATTGAATTCATGAATCAATCTAAGTTAGACCACTATTGTTAAACTTGAAAGCACTGAACGTCTGTTTCGTTCTAGTATGGTACTCCTCAATAGTACCCAATCACACGATCCCTTACATGACATCCAAACCCAAACTTCCAATCTCACATTCGAACATTTAACCACTAAATCATTGAGCAAATATTCAACAGTTTAACATTCACATACGAGAGTGAATATCTTGAATTCGAGTCCCACATACATAATCATAAATAAACCCTATTGATGAATCCCCTAACTATAGTCAGTCAGTCGGCTACAACGTAGGACCAGGCACATATGTGCATCGGTCCAAGTTGCCATACCGCATCAGCACAACAAGATGGACACCGGAATCATAAAAGTAGTTAATTCAGAGGTGGTAATATATAAAAGAAAGATTGCATCTAAGGATATAGTACAGGAAGAAAGAATTAGTTGGTAGAAAGAAAGATATGAAGCGATTTTAATCTCATAGTTTAAAGGAAGACAGAAGGTGAATATACCTACGCCATTGTGATCGATTCTGAGCCATGTCACTAAGAGTCTCCAACCATTGGTTACGATAGTCACGTGAACCCCAACCAAATAGTCTACATTTTCCAACATAACACAGACCGGAAGTTAGTGACTTCAAGCACTGATGCCACGTTTTGGTTTGGCCGCCCCCCTAACTATAACGAAACCAATCATCTAATACTTTTAGGTTTTCTAAGATGGTTCACATAACACCTCCCACCACCACTATCAAAACCACCATTATTTCTAATTATACTATTGAAAAACATACCTTCTTTTAAATGTTTATATAAATTTAAATAATAATCTGTTGTCAATTGATTTTCACCATTCTTGTTTATATCAGAAGATTGATAGATTGTCAATAACCAATTATTTAATAATAAATAATCAATATTATTTTTATATTGATATTGTTGATCAATATTCATTGTATATTGATTTATTTTTAATTGATTATTGAAATCATATTGATTAATTTTATTATGATGATGATTATTATTGATTAAATCATTCGATGTTTGTTTATTTATATCAAAATGATTTAATAATTTAATCAATAATTTTAAATTATATTTTTCATATAAAACATTTGGCACCATATTTAATGGATTCCATTTCAATGATTTATTGATTGGATATTGATTTTTTATTCGATCATTGAAATCAATATTAATATTAGTGATTAAATGATTATGATTCATAGAAAGATTTAATGGATAATCATCATTTGATTTATTTATAGATTCTATTGTAGGTTTTATGGTTGATAGAAAATGTTTATTGTTGCTATGGTCAGTGTTGTTGCTATGATTATTGTTGTTGCTATGGTTGTTGGTGTTGTTGGGTTTTCTTGGTCCACGTTCATGCTGAACACCTAGAAATATATATAAGAGAACAATAATATTATGTTTATTTTTCTTAAGATTAAATATTTTTGGAAAGTTTCTTTCTTAATTTGAAAGTACTTTACATCATAGATATCTTAGCTATGTGTCCAATAAGTTTTGTGCTTACGTTTTGATGGGATTAATAGGTTCCAAGTATTCAACACATTCTAATTGAATAAAATAACTCATCTGTGTTTTTTTTTAGTCTTTAATGATTGTCTAAGTAGATTATTGAATTTCATTAAAATCACTAGCCATTCACAGTTAGACAACTATTGAAAACCTGACATCAACACTGTTGGATTCCAGCTTAGTGGTTTAAAGGTTAAACGTTCGCTCACGAGACTGATAGGCCCTGTGTTATAGCCCAAAGCCGCCAATCAGAAGCAGCGGATTATCGATCGGACCAAGGACGCGTAAAACACATGCGAGCAGCCTAGAGTCTTGATTTGTCCTGCTTCCTGCCTCGCCCAGCCAGTTAAGTCCAGAACACCAGTCTCAGCCTCTGCAATATGAATCCTTATATTTCAAACATACTGAGTTTATATACGAACCAAACAGACCACAGCGTACCATAAAATAGAAAACAACATTTTTACAAGAATTAGACAAATGTGGCTATAAATGAGGGAGATAGTAATTAATAGACAGGGCATAATTCATGAATGGTAAAACGTATAATAATAGTTCATAAGTCAAAATAAAGTTTATAATAAGAGGAATATGAATAGTTTAGTTACTTAACAATTATACGATAAAAATATACGTTTAGTATTTGTACACAGAAGGATCCCAAGGTTATCATTCATTATGTTTCTCGGGACCTAACACTCTGGTTCCGAATCTCAGGGAGCGAGATCGTGGATGTGCACTGTTGAGGAGTCCTAAACTAGGATGAAACGGTCATCCAGTGTTTCCAGGTTTTCCATGATGATCTAGCTTCAACTGATTCATGAATTCAATTATTAGAAAATTACTACATTCTCCACAAAACCGATCTGTGATTATAATACATATATGTTAAATCAACGTAATTGTATACTCATTTTAAAATATATTATCCAACTGAGAATATAACTATTCAATACATTTATTTAACACCATTGGTTAACTCCTTATATGTAAATCTTCCCAATATTCATTTGTCTGGTTACCTGTCTATCCATTCATTTGTTAATTCTATTCTATTACTGTATTGATGTATAAATAACTGAAGTACACTGGTTAATTGACGCTCTCAACAGTTTGTATTCATTTCAATACAATATAGATTAGATCATTCTAATGCAGTCCTGTATTTGTTTCACTACAATGCAATTGCTCGTTATTCGATTATCAGTGTTATTTTTATTCTAACACAATTACTGGTGTTTTTAATTGCCAAGCATCAATATAAATCCAATTCAATCACAAAGAGGTCTAAATCTGCTATTAATCCAATACTCCTATTATTTCAGTCCAGCTGTGTTCATTCATTTCAATCAAAACTCAATTATAATCAAAGATGGATGGTGGCTAGTAGTAGAATTCAGGCCGCGCGTTTCCTCTTATTTGGGACTCGTCAACTGGATGTACCTGCATCTGACTTAATGTTCACTCTGAGACTCGAACCCAGCACCGTTCGCTTCAAACGCTATCGCGTTATCCAATTAGAGTATGAATTAAGACAATATCGAAATAATCCGTACAATATGCACATATATCAATAAGAGACTGATCACTCGCAATTTTAAACATCAATGGGAAGATTCAAATAAACAATAGCAAGTGAATTCAAAGCTTAATTGTTTATTACAACTGAATAATACTATTGAATATATACTGTAGAACATTTGTATTCAATTTCTTACGTAACTCATTTGTCCTTGGTAATAGAATATAAATTTAACAAATATAAAAGTTTTGATTCCTGTTTACAATTTCATGAATGTGCACTATTGATGAGTGTCAGTTAAGGATGAAACAATCATTTGTAAAACTTCTAACGCATCATCATCATTCATACACTCTATGTGTGTATAAATGTAGTAAACCGTAAATGTCTTGAATCTCAGGAGGGACAGCTTTGTTTTAATTACACTTCTATTACAGAAATCAAACTAGAGCAATATGAATGAATTTAGAAAGATTTTGATAACTGAGTTGTCTGACTGATAGTCAACCTTAACAAAAGAAGAAAAATCGAATATCATCTGATAAAATAAATTGTTGCAATTGTGATAAACACTACATTGGACAAACTTGACGTTCTTCTTCCTCTTCAGCTGTACAAACATAAACTATTCGTCAAACGCTATGACATATTCTCTCTTATATCAATCCATATGGACAACTGCGGATAAACATTCAACTGAGAAAACGTTGAGATCTTGGATAGAGGGAATTCTAAAATAGCAGAGAATTTTCAGAAGATTTTCACTCAGGTCCATCAACAAACACATTGAAATCGAACCAATCAGAAAAATCATGAACAAACATAGGACCAAGAATCAAATCAATAGAAGATATAATCAAAATAAAGAAGTGAAGAATGACAGGTTAAAGGTCAAAAAGAATCAATCAAGATCGAGGTTAACAGGATGAGCTTTGAGTCATATGTGGAGAAGTTCAAACACTTTACTTCTATCTGAAGTATGTGCTGATGATGTTTTTCAAAAGAACAATGGAAGTTCCATGAGCAAACCATTCAGCTTAGAGAACAAAACTCCACCTAAATTATCTACCTGAGCTACAAATCTTCTCCACCATCACAAGAATAATGTATTGTCTGGTTGATAGTTTACCCTAACAAGACTGAATTACATCTATATTAGGTCCTTAAGATCAGTGAATAAGAATAAAGTTGTAATAAGACCTTTAAATAAGAAAAAATGATAAAGATATGTCAAGTGAGAGTATCACCCAAAGCTTTTAGAATTGACAAATTGTACGCAATAAACCAAATTCCAAAAAATCATACGCAAGATACTCAATATCCGTTGATAAAAAAATACACTACATGGAGAAATAGAAACAGGATGAAAAGGATGAATACCGACTGGAAACAAATGGAAAGGATTGCCTAAGACATGGTTGGATAGAGAGTGCTGGTGGGCGGCCAATGCTCCCCTACAACGGGTAACAGATGTAAGTAGGTAAATAATATATGCGAAGAATAAGAAACTATGAAAAGATTAAGGGTATCATTATAAATAGAATAAAGGAATAAATGTACAAATAGATGAGATGAGTGGTTTATTGTGATAAATAAACGTCATCCATTACAGCACATTTGTCATATGAATTACTGAATATTAATCAAACTACTGATAAGTATTAAGTAGTATAGTGCATAGCGTAAAAAACAGGCTTGGGGTGAAACGAAGTTTGAGATTGACAAGTTCTAGATTAATCTGTTAATTCAGTTACTGGCTAATGAATAAATTCAATAGCTTATGAAAATGGGGGAATATATCTATACTGTAGATCAAATATATTCGTATTTTAGTTAATTTTGGAATAACAAAAACACAGTAATAGTTCTTTTCTGAACGGACCACAATTTGTATTTAATATACCGGAAAAGCATTAGTGAGTCATATACTGTTGTAAGGTTACGCAATGAGTGAAACTTAAGGATTTTAGCGGACTACTGTAAGTAAATGACTTATCTAACTAAAATCACTACTCAAATACTTCTGTCTGAAGTGATCCGGTATTATGAAGAATCCCAAAAATAGAATAAAATCTAACTTCATGAAGTTTTGTCAAAAACACGTCATCAAGACCATCACAAAAAATCGATAGAATTTATATATATATATATATATATATATATATATATATATATATATATATATATATATATCTGAGATGGTGGAAAAGATTTTTAGCTGAAGTGGATGGTTTCGGTTGAAAGTGTTTTCTCCGAGCCAGATAGCTTAATCACGAATCTTTTATTATCCTTCTAGGCTACATGGTGTGTGCTATTTATATCGACATAATTAGTATATAACGATATTCAGGAATAGAATGGCAGCAGAAGTTTAAGTAGATAGAGGAGGAAAGAACGGGAACAGAAGGTAATTGGCATGGAAATGCAGGAACAATGAAGTGTAAGGCGATTGATGATTGATATTTGCAAAAGGAACAATCAAGTTTGACTTTTTTGCAGATCTAAATATTTACTGATTGGTTCTCTGATTTTATTAAGAGATTCTATAATTTTGATGTTCAAATACATTTGATGGTCCCCCGTCTGTATTCTCGTTCACTACACTACTAATAAACTAATATTAATCGCTCATGACTTAGTAACTACGATCCTAACAGTTAGTCATTTCTCATTGACAATCACTATCTATCGATCATATTTACAACATAACCATCAAATTAAACAAGTCAAAATCTCTTGTTCAAGTCTTTACGGATGGATTGTTACTGTGAAGAATTTGGATGAGATGTACTAATAAATGTAAGGGTTATAAAATTTAAGATTATTCAATTACCTTTCATCATCTAACGAACTACATTTGATATGAAATCTTTTGCAAACTGTTATATCCGGTGAAGATTAAATGACATGTAAATTCCAAGAACTATTCATGGACTAATATTCTATAAATATTCTTATTGTATAACTACTCAACAATTACACTATGTATATTTATATCCCTCTTATGACAAGCTTTATTTTGGCCTATAATTTATTATTGTACGATTTACGGTTCTTAAGTTATGTTCAGTTTATTAACTACTGCCTCCCACATTCACAGCCACTTTTTGGGCTTATTTGTGTACAAATATTATTTCCTATTTTATGGTACGTTGCGGTCTGTGTGATTGATATATAAACCAAGTATGCCTGAAATAAACGATCTGCTCTGATTCGGAAGCTGGTATTTTGTTCTGGACTCAAGTGGAAGGGCTCGTAGGACATAGGACCAATAAGGACGCTAAACTGCCCACACCGGTTGAACGTCATTGGTTGGCCAAGTGTGAAGATTCGTATAAGTCGTATTCGGATTGGTAGATAAGTCGTGTGATAGAAAAGTCAGACATCCAAGGCCATAACACAAACTTATCATGAAAAGAAGTTTTTATCAAATGAATTGTGATTACACTCTCGGTTGCTTCATGATTTAATGATGATTAAAAATTTAAAGCATTCAACTTTAAATCAAAGAGTAAAAGTTTCGAACTGTATCTTTACTCATTTCAGTTTGAATAATTGTTGAGTCGGCTTCCCAAGAACTGCAACGGATCCTCCAGAGGCCCTAAAGGAGCCGAAGAGTCCTAGCCAATCAGAGAATGATGAAGCTTTCTAGAATGTCAACGTGGCATGCTACTATTGGTCAGTAGCATAATATGTCTTTTAGCGGATTAGCCAAAATATGATGTTGATTTAACAAATGTTAACATTTATAAATACCCGTGTTTTCCTGTACAAAAATGAACTTTGGAGTAAAGTACATTGTGGTGGTCGGTATTCGATTTATCCCTTAAACTTCGTATACAATTCGTCTTGATAACCGTCCTATTTAACCCCAACGGTATATTATTCAGAAGGCGAATACGAAGCGTTGATTACGTTTATTTCGAGACCACACACACAAATGTCCAAAATTTACAGATGCATTAAACGAGCATTAAGAGTTGTGTCGAACGGCAAACAGGCAAGCGAGCGACTGAGCGAATGTAAGTAATCGAGTACAATCAAGCGAGCGAGAAAGCAGAGTCAGCCATATGAATAACATGGACATATATATAGCATGTGAAATTAATGAGTAATCGAATCAAATAAGCGGTTAGTAGTGAGACTAGCAGAGTGACATAAATGCGTAGGCCGTAAGCAATATTCAAGCAAGCGTATTTCATACAAGCACAAAATAATAATAAGGATACAATAAATTGTTATAGTGCGGATGGCTTTGTCCGCTAAATAAGTTAGCAAAAGGGCTTAACTGAGTTAAATGAGAATAAACCCATTTGCACGTGAGACGCTATAACTTCTCGTATACTTTGCATCTTCTCTCTCGTGTTCAAGTGGCTGTATAGTTCTAGCTTGGGGGTTACAGAATAGCTTAGGAAACGAATATCGCGTTCAATCCGCAAGACTTATCAATAATCAGGTTTTATTACCAAGTTTTACATAAAATCATATAGCTCAAAGTAGATTCGATCAGCTGGAACTTAGTCATGTATTTGTCTAGTAACCATCTTATTAGATTTTATGAATGGTTTTTTTCTTATTACGTACGGATCAATAACCATAACACTGGATAACTATTCAATTAAGTGTTACAATAACTTACAGTATCAGAAGTAAAACTCTGTATATATACACACACATACAAACAAACAAAAAGGAAATGTGCACTTACTTTCTTCATTCATTTGTGCTAGAAAACATTTATTTAATCGACATGCACGACAATGATTACGATGATGACGATCAATGGTACATTTACCTTTTAAATTACCACTTGCTTTACATGTATATGAACGATTCTTGTGAATACTTCTTTTAAAAAATCCAGAACATCCTGAATTGTAAAAAAAATAATCAGAAATGATAAACTTAATGGGGTAGTAATATAATTTGCTTATGAGATAAGAAGTATAATGGAGATTTAGATTTGTTATTCCTTGAAGGTATCATTACAAAACTGTTTGGTCGAATGAATCAAGATCTATTTGGATGATGTTAATAATTTCATATAAGTATTGGTACAAAGAGGCACCGAATACATATGCACCGCACAAGTCACTTGGTTTGTGTGTAGGTTGCGATAATACCCGGGTGTTCAAACTGAAGAAGGTGGTTTTCTTAGGAGGCCACGCTTGGAGCCTTCGACCTAAAAGTCTAATCCACAAGGCAGTGGAGCAACATTTGGAGATTCAGTCCCATGGTGGTGGCTGTATACGCGTGACCATGTAAGAATGGACTCTCTACATCCTCGACCGTACCAGGGGATTTGGGGGAAATTTACAGTTTAATTGAATGTTTTGAATAGTTTAAATGAGCTAAATGTAAACTTTCAAAAGTTTTACCCTAAAAACGTTTGTTAGTATTATATTCTATGTGATTTGTTGTTCAAATAGTGAACGATTCATTGTTATTTTAAACAACATTATTAATAACTCACTTGTTTATATTAGAGATTTTCTGGGAGAAGAACAATTAATCACAAGGTTAATGATTCATAAGACGCTAAGAAATGCATTAGTAATTGAACCTTTAAGATCACCATCTTAAAGGTCGTCAACAGCAAACTCTGGACCAACGTCAGTTCCCTCAAAATTACAGGCACACCTCACTGACGAGTGCAAAAGAGCACGAAACCTGGTTTCAGAGTTTCCTGTTGACTATCTTCAAAAACCATCTTATCTCAACATAATGCACGTAATTCCAAGTCACCTAAACTGGCAGCCATATTGCAACTTGGTCGATAGAATTCGATCTAAACTAAGAAGGACCTGACACACATTACATTGATCACCACCCAGTGATCAATCAATTGTGAAATTGAACCCTTTTTATCAATAAACACGACACTGACAGAAAGATTCACTTGAACTGTGAAATCTTCATTGTGTTAAATAGTAGATAAATTGTCAACCATTTATGCAATATATTACCTCATTCTGTAGTGAACTAGAACACAAATGGGACGATCGAATATATTTCAACACAAAAATTACAGAATCTCTTAGTAAATTCGAAGAACCATACAGTAGATACTTCATTTTCAAAATATCAATCAATAGTCTCATAATTCATGGTTTCTTAGTTTCCACACCAATCAGTTTCTGTTCTCGCTCTCCTTTCTTCGATCTCCTTAACTTTCTGTCATCAGCCATTTCACTTCCGATCGATGATACATACTACTTATATCTATCGATATCAGTAGCACACATTACAATTCAAGATTTGTTTTAATGAATAACAAACAAAATGGTTGAAAAATTCGTATGAAGAAAAACGAGTAGAAACAACCATACAGGGTTATTTTTTAACTCACCATCACAACTATATACTCCATAATGCTTTCCAGTAGAACGATCACCACAAACACCACATGGTATATTAAGTAAACGGTAATCTAGAAATTAAAAAAATATATTAATGAAAAGAAAAACATTTGGAACAGATAGTTTGTAGATGATTTTTGAAATCATTAACTGGATATCTGTTTTGTTGTAGCATAAGATTCCTCAGCGATGCATATTTATGACCAAGGATCTAATCAAGAGATCAAATATCTCGTAGGAAACGCTTTCACCTTAGATCACTGAGCCAGTAATTCATGGTTTGTGAGTTTTTTAATGGTTATTCAACTTACGTTGGTTTTTAGTTTCTACACGTCTCTGAAAGCTCCCTCCATGCTGAAGAGTTGTGGGTGGTTGCACTACTTACGTACTGACGCCTGTTACTCCCAGTGGAGCATAGACAACAGTTGTTTTGTATTCCAGATGTTCTTCAATTGTAGATATGCTACCCTTGCTTAACCGATTTACATCTTCACATCTACATCAGATCCCCAATGTTCACCAATGACGCTAACCAGAAAAAATAATTCAGGGATGGTTGCATACCTGTGGTAAATTTTTTCATTGGAAGTGACATCAACTGTGAAATCAAAGAGTGGTAAAAGATTGTGGATAGTTAAACCGTTCTGACTTTCAGAATTTTCATCAGCCTGCAATCACTTATTCAGGATTATGCGGCTAAATAGTCAGATATACGATGTTTACTAGTTTCATTTGCAAATTTTCTGGGTCTATGAAATTATCAGAGAATGTTTCTACATAGATTAAACAATTTTTCTAGATATCAGTATAGGGTTGTGGAGATTATTAAGTTTTTGATTGAGATCATAAACTGATCGATGTTAGACCACTAGTGAAGACCTGGAAGCACTGGAAAGCCGTTTCGTCCTATTGTGGGACTATTCGACGGTGTTCATCCACGATCCCGCAGGTGGGATTCGAACCCACAGCCTTCAGTCCAGTGCTTCTAGGTTTTCAATTGTGGTCTAACATCAATCAGTCCATGATCTCAATCAAAAAATGTTTCTAGATTTTTAAAGATTCACTTTTGACCGTACAGTAATATCTAGCAGGCATGGAATAATACTTTTTTGTAAAACTATCCTGAACGTTCTTTACATTGAATGCTATAAGAAATGGTGAATAATTTCTCGAAAAGATCTTTCAAAGTCAAGAAGAATTCTGGGAATATACTGACCATGTTGAGATCTTTGCAAATTTTCAGGATGAATTCGGGAGACTATCGAGTATGCTTTGCATGTCTTGATTAGTATGTTGTCAACTTTATTATGTTCTTCTAAACCTTACAGAATCTGGGACTGATATATATTCTTATAAACATCATTATGTCTTGTATATAACATAATCTTCTAAGGAAATCTTCCTTTAAACTTTCATGTACTTTTTATTGAGCATTTCAATGTCGATCAAGACTTCTGATGATAAGGAAGTTGATCTCTGTGAGTTCTAGTACAAGTCTTATATTAAGTACTTCCTATAGTTTATAAAATCTTATTTCTTTTTTCACTTTACAATTGAACAGTAGTAACATTTACGACTGGGAAGCTGGCTGACACGGGATTGAGTCTGTCGAGGAGCATCAGTTCCCTTAAGAATAATACAAGTACAGCTTGCTGACGAGTGCCAATTAGCATGAAACCTGGGTTCAAAGTTTCCTGTTGACTACCTTCAATCACCAACTTATCTCAATATAGTACACACAATGTTCAGTTATCTAGACTAATGGCCACTTTACAACTTGGTCGATAAAATTCGATGTGCACTAAGAAGGACCTGACACACATGACATTAATCACCACACAGTGATCAATCAATAATGAATACATCTCAGTCCTGTAGGAGGTCGGTTGCGGCGCAGATAACTCATTGCTAACGTCTCTAACTTCAAAGCTGGTTGACACGGGATCAAATCCGTCAGAGAGCACCAGTTTCCTCAAGATTACAGCCACACCTTGCTGACGAATGCCAATTAGCACGAAACCTGAGTTCAGGGTTTTCTGTTGACTACCTTCAATCACCATCTTATCTCAACATAGTACACACAATGTTGAGTCATCTAGACTAATCACCATATTACAACTTGGTCGATAGAATTCGATCTACACTAAGAAGGATCTGAGACACATGACATTGATCACTACCCAGTGATTAATCAATTACAATTCAATATTATATTGTTAACCCAATGGACTTTTATCATAACCATCATTTATTCTATAAACTTTATGATCATCAGTTGACATGATAAAAACAAAAACAAAAAAAAGACAATGTATCCATGTATCATTGTCAAATACATTAAGATAATTTAAGGAGAATCTCATACGAAATTGTTTTCATAATTCACTATCTAACTAAACACATGTATCAATGTCCAATTGTTTTCAATGTATCCTTTCTATATTTTATCTTCATTTAATTCAATAATGAAGTCATTTTTATTGACATAAAGAAGAAGAAGAAGAAGAAGAAGAAGAAAAACATTCGAAAGTGAATTGACCAACTACAACTACTACAACAATAACAACAACAAAAGGAGACTGTTTTCTTTTCTTGTTTTTCTCATGAAAAGTTTTAAATGGGGTTTGATAAGTTTCATGTGTTGTAGACTTTTTCTTTTAAAAGTAAAAAAGAAAACTGTCTAGTCAAATAGATTAAGATAAATCTATACATACACACACACACACACAGTTGGAGGGAAACTAAGGGGAATAGACGATGCTCTACTTGGAATGATATAATACAAGGTAACAGTAGTAGTAATAGTAGTAGTAGTAGTAACAGTAATAGTAATAGTAGTATTAAATCGTTGTAATGTACACTTGAAAGCAAATGTTTTGTATTCTATACACATCTATACAATAAAAGATAGATAGATAGAGTTCTTTTAATTGTTATTATCATTTTATCACACACACACCCCTCCCCCTAGAAAAAACAACATACCCACTTCGTTTTTTCCCCAATATTTAGCAACTATTTTATCCTAGTTATTTTAATCCCCCCCTACTAGTTATTCGACTGTTATTCTAATATTGAATCTGTTCTCAACTCACAATCAGTATTACTTATAAGCGACATAGAAATAAGTAAGACTTTTCTTCTTCTTTTTTTCTTTTTTCTTCTTTTTTTATTTCTTTTTTCTTCTTTTTCTTCTTCTTCTTCTTCTTCATAGAACATCATGATAATATGAATAGAGATGAAATTACTTAAAAGAATTAAAGTGAATAAGTGAATTTCAATTTATGTATAGTTAACTTTAATGTAATAATAAAATGAAAATCTAATTCATGTGAATATAAACCATATGGAATGAAAATGAACAATGAAAATAGCATAATTATTCACAATTAAGACATGTTGTTTTAAATGAATATTCATGTTAAATTATTGAGATAAAAAAAAGAAAAAGAAGAAGAAGAAACAAAACATTAGTGTGTGCTTTGTGGTGTGTACTACTTATATCAATAGATATAAGTAGTATATATCATCTAATCGAAAGTGAAATGTCTAGTGGTAGACGATTAAGAAGATTGAAGAGAAAAGAATGAGAATAAAGAATGATTGGTGTGGAAATGAGGAAACAATGAAGTCAGAGATGATTGATTGATATTTTTTCCACATGGATTTACAGATTCTGGGAGGCAAAATCTGACTCACACTTTGTCATCGTGCCTCCTGGATAGTTGGACTCAATCCTATGAATTAACGTGAACGGTAACCCAGGAGGTAGAGATCGGGTTAGTCAACCAATCGATCGATAACCACAAATTGATTACGAAACCCACAAACTATCACAGCACAATAATTTCTGGATCGAAAGACGACAAAAAATTCACGAAAGTGGTGCATGGATTGTACGCGGTTGCATCCTATTCGAAAAACTCCAACCGATTGTAAAAACAGCTATTCTAGCCCCGGTAGTTGTGCCGTGCTTTGATGTGACCTGTTTCTCTCCAGAAGGGCATACTAGGCTTCCCCAACTTGTTTGGCTGGAAGAGGCATCACAGATTCTACTTAGACTGGTGTTCATGTTCACTACAGTTTTATTGAAATAATGTAAAGTTATTTTACTTACATTCTATTGTTCAATTAAGTAAGGTCTTTTATTAATCTGTGAAAAATATTATCTATAAAATAAAATAAATCTCCTAGAATACAACTTTGAAATAATTAACTCCTAGGTAGTCATGTAGTTCCGATGTGAAGAAGTGATTATGGTGTGTGTTACTTATATTCATATCACTAGTGTACAACGATGGTCAGACACAGAATGTATTTCAGTAGAAAATCTATGAGGAAAGAATGGGGACGGAACGCAATTGGTATGAAAATGCATAAACAATGAAAATTGAGACAATGAACTGATATTTGCAAAATGAATAGTCATTTTTGAAATGATGGATTGATATTTTGCAAATTAACTATTTGTTATATGGTTCTCAGATTTTATTGAAATAGTCTATATTTTAGTGTTTAATACATTTGATTTTCCCCACTCGTGTTCTTGTTTACGACAGTGATTAGTGAAGTTCAGACTTAACAGGATTGAAACGACTACCTTAAGTAGAGTTTAATGATTATTAAACTATCTGATAAATTAATTGAAATTAGAATTATATTAATGAACTTTGATCAAATGGTTCTAGTGTTGGAGTGTTCTTCACGAGAAATAAACGTGATTAGTTCGATCTCTGGTCAAATTATGAATGTACTCTATTAAAAAGCATCATAGTAGGGCAAAACAGAGATTTAATATTTTCAATGGTTGAGATCGTGATTCAATTGAAGCTAGACCACCATGGAAAACCTCTGAGCGCTGGACGGGCGTTTCATGTTAGTTTGGGACTCCTCAACAGTGTGCATCCATGACCCCGCCTCGCGAGATTCGAACCCAGGACCTATAAATCTCGCGCCAGGTGCTCAATAAAAGCTTAACTGAGATTAATTTGTAGTGAACAAAAACTACTCGATGAGACTATAATTCATAAACGAGAGAATCAGATTTACGATAACGAGTTTCGGATTTTAC